AGTAACTAATGTATTCCAGATGTCAAGGCAAGACGTTTTGAAGACTTTGTGGTCGATAGTGAAGGCTAGGAATCTTCAAGTATTTATTTAAATAATTTTTACGTATTTTCGTTTTAGAGATATTACCTCAGTGAATTTTTTTTTGTAAGAGAAGCATTACCCCAGAGCAGTAGCTTCTGTTAAAAAGACCATAAACCAGTGATTGAATTTTGTTATAAAGACATTGCTCCAGTGTATCCAATTTTGAGCGACATTTATTAATTTTTTAAAACCATGTTTTTGTCATTTTATTTACAAAACCTATATGTTTCGATGTGGAGAGCTAGCATCCCTCCTAGGCATGGGCGCCCGCAGAAAACTTTCTAGGGGGGGGGGGCAAAAAAACAAGATTAACTTTCTAGGAGGGGGGGCAAAAAATGTTTAGTAATGTTTTAATGTAGTTTTAATTTATTGTAGCGTATTTGTATGGTGAACGAACGGACAGGACATCAGCTGAGTTACTTTCTCTTTATTTTCTCTTTACTTTAATACAATTTTTGTCTATTTTTGTCTAAAATTTTGTATCCAATCAATTCAGGAAGGGCAAGTACCACGCCTTGCCCCCCCCCCCCTCCCCTTGCGGACGCCCATGTTACTGGGTGTATTTGATGATATCAAAGTTATGAAAAATCTTTATATTTCCATGATCATACTTTCTCTTTATTTTCTCTTTACCTTAATACAATTTTTGTCTATTTTTGTCCAAAATTTTGTATCCAATCAATTCAGGAAGGGCAAGTACCACGCCTTGCCCCCCCCCCTCCCCTTGCGGACGCCCATGTTACTGGGTGTATTTGATGATATCAAAGTTATGAAAAATCTTTATATTTCCATGATCACTCAATGTCTTTGTTTAAGCTAGAAACCATGAATGACACTATAATTTTTGAAATAAGACTGAAGAGCTAAAATTATACCTCGTTATTTCACTCAGGATCCTGATGATAAACAGTTCATGTTGTGTGATGCACAGATGGAAGCCCTTTTTGGTAGGTTATCTTAGATACAAAAGTTAGACTAGTTAGTACAATTAGTGCTTCATAACTTTCCATTGCTGTTAAAATTGATTTTAGTCGTTTTGGTAATAAGCGTTTTAAAAGGATTAATCACGTCACTATCACTTATCTTGATCTAGGAGTCTCATCCAACTTCCTTATATCATCAATTATTTTGTTTCTGATTTCTTTCTTTATAGCTGTTAACTTACCTCGCGTATCAACTGACATTTAAAAAAAAAAAAATTGAAGGAAGAAAAAATATAATGTGTCGTGTATTCTTTTTTTTAGTTTTCAACATTGTCCATTAAACAGGTAGAAAGAAAGTCAACTTGTTTGGGATGATGAAGTATCTAAAGCAACACATTACAGATCTCCCTTGATAGCATGGACATTGTTCTTTTCATGTTACGTTTTTAATAACCAAGGTGTATGGATAAAATAGTTAGAAAATACATCTATTTAAAAATAAATATATATATTTTTATGAAAAAAAAATGTAACCTAAATGCAACCCAAAAATATCATTTTTTTGTTGTCATTTTTTATCACTGTCTTGGCTAGGTTTGTAAAGAATATGAATGAGAAACCTCTGTTCTATTAACAGAGTACATATTTGAGGAAGCTGTTTTTAAGTGTGTGCACATAGCCCTATTACCTGACAAAAATGTGAAAGGGATGAATTAAGCTAATTTATTTTTGAACTGTAGTTATTTTTTTGTGTGTGTTAAAATATATATATTCTCTTGAAAATAATTACTATAGCCACATGTTACTCCGTTTTAGTAATAGCAATAAATTTTACATTCATTTAATATTGTGTGTATTAACACTTCAGGCTTTACAACTTTCGAGGAAAAATAGTTTATTTAATATTTTTCACAAATCTTTTTTGGAATATCGCTTGTAGCAAGATGTTAAATCACTAAAAAAAATTAGTTTGTTGAAAAACTTCTACTGATTACATCCTACTTTTTAAAGCAATACTGTAATTCGAGTATCGAAATATAATAAGTTTCCTTTATACGCAACATGACTGCAGAAAATAAATTAGATGGCATCCTATTTAAAATTTAACAATGGAAGCTGTTTGAAAAGGACAAAGTTGCTCTGTTATTTTCTTATCTTATGTTTCATCAGATCTAATTTTTTTAAAAACTTTAATAGAAACTTTTACATTACAAGAGGATTTTTCAAAATCTTTTCTAGACGGCTAAGTTAACTCTTTTTGAAATTGTAGCAATGGCGCCCTAATATCTTTAAACGATATATCAAGCAGCTTTAAAGACAATTTTAAAATGCAGTTAATAGTTAAGTTTTTATTTCATTTTTTTTTTATAATACTGCTTGATTTTTCATTTTAAAAATACATTCATTCATTCATTTATTAGCTCAGTATTATTTCTTGTTGCATTGTAGATCCATTTATTTTCAGTTTAATTAATTGAACCCTACACACGCACAGGCCCAATCATAACAATGGTCAAATTATCGATTACTGCGACACGAAAAACTTTTGTCGAATTATCGATCATTTAACCGAGCTGTGTGCTAAAGAATGTTTCCATTTATGTGACACGTAGAGCAAATCCTTGTCCGCAGTGGCGTTATCTGTTTCTTATCTCAAATGTTAGGACTCAAATTGTATGTATATTTACATGTTAAACTAGTGTTTGGTTCATTGGTAAACATACTATTCTTTGGCAAACAACACTGCTTCTGTATGTCTTTCAGTCTGTGAAATTGTTGATAAATTAGATACACATTGTAAAAACAAATAATTAAATCATGTGAATGCCATTTCATGCAATAAGTCATGATGAATGGTTTCATCTGAAAATAGTTGGACACAATTTTCAATTAATATGAAAACATTTTATCAGTCTCTGATGTCCAAAATATAAGATCGACATATGACAATTTTGAGGATATATGCCACATTTTAGGCATTACCAACAGGACTTGCAATGACATGGATCAAAATTGTTGACATATTATGTCATTTACAGTGAACTTATATTCCGCTTGGTTGTACACGGTCTTAAATGGACCAAAGACGCGTGTGTTTAGGTGTTCATATGTGGTGTTTCCCCACATGTCATCAAAAAAATTAGTCTAGGGATTCATGGAAGTTGTGTTTTAGTGCATGCGGCTGCAGCGCGGTTGCAATGTTAAAATGACGATGACATAATTTTCTTTAGCAAGGCTAATTACATTCATTAACATATTTATTTCGTTATGTCTAATTGTTCGTTCTTCAAATGTCCTCCAGTGGACCGACAACGATTGGGGAGACTTAGGTTGCTGCTCCGAGACAGTTAGTAAAGAAACGTTGCGGAAATATTCATGATTTACTCACTTTGGAAAAAAGACTTCTAAAATCAATATTTTTTTAGCATACAAAAATACCCCGAGTTTTGCCTTCTGCTTGCATGCATCGAGGGGTGTCTGGAAAGCTGATGTGTGCCAGATGAAAATTTTAAGTGATATGAATCTTATCAATGAAAGAAACATAAAAAAAGGTCTCTTCAATATAATAACATAGTTTGGTGTTACACGAAGTTGACTAAACTGGAAACCCCCCAGGATTTTTTCTATGTAAAAGTAAAGGGGATTTGAGATAACACCCATAAACTTTTGACAATGCGGCTAAGTTCTTGAAGGGATAAGCACTGGTATAATTTATTTTTTTGGGCTACTTTGGTGTCCGAAAATCCTGCATGTTTTATTGCGTATTTCCAAACGTCATACCTGAACCCTGAGGGACCGTCAACATAAAATGTTTAATGTATCAATAATAAATGCTTGTAAGGCGGCACATTGAATTGATAAACCTTAAATCAAACGCATAGACAATCGGTAAGCCGCTCATCGTGGGAAGTGTTGAGGATGACTGCTAAGAAATGTTGGGTAAACCAGCAGCAAAGAATGCTTTCCAGAAAAAATGTGTCGAATTCGATTAATCGGATGACGTAGACTAGATTTGAGAATATTATAATTTGAACAGAGGAGTCCATGGAAACATTAAATTATTTCCATCTTTACTATACGTCATCATTGTAAGGGTTAATTTTTTTTTTTTTTATTCATTATCTGTGTCAGATAAGTGGGGTAAAATTCCCCTTAAACAACAGTAGGGGCTCGACAAACGTCAGAGCCAAACAGAACCCAAATGTACACAACGACACGCCAGCCAATGCAAACAGAGCAGTCTTGAAAAACCTCATACCAGTCGTAGCCGCCCCAAGCAGAACACAGATAAGAGTCAAACAGGTTTTTTTTTAAAACCCTTAGACAACTTGATATCACGCCTATTTAAAACCCACTCAGCACGTCAAGGCCCCTTCTCTCCCCCCCCCCGCCCCACACCCCAATCCCGGAGCTTTTTCAACGAAAAATATGATATAATCCTTATTTTAGGTAACATTGGCATTTAAAATATAAAAAAGTGTCTATAGTGACTCCGAGACTAGCTCAAAAATATTACCAAAAAAAAACCCGATGCAATCGCCTTGCCCAAACATTGGACACGTGGATCCAGTTCTGTACAAAGGATAGCGGTGGGTGTTTGGCATTTAAAAAAAAAAAATCAACAACCAAAAAAAACAAACTCATATTGACAGTTTCTGCTAATTTGTAATTTTTTTTCGTTGAAGGGGCGGCAAAAAGTATATCCTGTACCTGGTATAGATAACCTACACCACTTGGGTATCTCTACGAGTTATGTTATATCCCCTAAACTCACTTGAGATCCACATGTCGTCTGGGGACACGACGACTGCATTCAAGACGAGCGTGTGCTGTTATTTAAAAACTCTTATCACTAACAATCTTTTTCGGTCACGGGTGGTAACCTATAGTACTGGGCAGGACTCCTGTCAACCCGTCTTCAACTAATAATAAAATGACAAAATCGTCCGCTATCTCACTTTGAGATAACAGGTTCACTTGCCCTGTTAAAGGTTTTAATTGTGGAATTTGAAAAAGTTTGTCACCTAAGTACTGTCACCACAAAACGAGACTCTTTGTGAGTTATGGTCAAACATTTTACAATAATCATATTAGTAATTTTTTTTAAACATTTGTAATTTCAAGTGACACTCCTTTAAGTTGGCTGTGGAAATCTGAATTGTATTTTCCTTTTTTTTTCTTTTGGACATTACATGAAAAATTCACAAAGCTGTAGAATTAAGTTTAAAAAATTTGGAATTTAAAAAAAAAAAAGCTTTTTATCAAGAGGTATGTATTATTTTGTTCTTACTGATAGTGATTTTGTTACTTTACCAATTTATATTTTCTGTATGACTCAGTTTGGCTAGATTTCCGACATCTTAATATACAATTTTAGTAGTTAAAATTAACCGTTTTTGGTTTACTAATCAAAATATCAAACATTGTGCACCTATTTCTAAGCTTGAAAAGAAGAAAATTAAAGATTTAGTTGTCATAATTGAACTGAATAGAAATAAAATGTTATAACACATAACTCATTTAAAATTGTTTTTTAAAGTTATCGTGATTTTTTTATTTTTTATTTGGTCGTTAAAAATGATATTTCTTTCTAGTTACACGGCTCATTTCTTAACGGTAAAAATCTGTCATCTTCGCTTGTTTACTAGAGTTTATAATGTATTCAACTAATCTAAAGAAAATCGAAAAAAAATATTAATTTCCTAAAAAAATATGTGTATATAAACTAATTACATATTTCAAACGATAGATCTGAAAGTTCGAGTTCTCAAACGGTATTTATTATCAATCTATTAGTTGGATACTAGAGGCCTTAAAGTAATATTTTCTTGGAAGGAATTAATGTGTTAAAGGAACATCTTATTCTTAAAAGCAACGATAGAGATTTGTGTAGTTACTTAATGAAGATCGAATCAAATTAAATCTCATAAAAATATATCTGCTTGTATAAAAGTATATTTAATCTTTAACAATTAGAATGTAGGATTATACTTAAGAAATAAATATAAATTGAATTTATTTCAAGGGCGTTGAGAAACTGTGGGTACATTTGCATACCCATTCTTTAAAATGTTGGAAAGCGAAAACAGACGATTCAATTTTCATCGTAAAATAAAGACATATATTTGTTTCCTATTTTTCTATATATATAGTTCAAGAGCGTGGATAAATGGTGGGCATCTATTTATGAGGCTAAAACTATGTTTATGCTAAAAACTAAAATACATGACCCGGTGTTAAAGGTAAAGTAATTGTCACAAGTACCCTGGTGCTCAGTGACACTTGGTCTAATTTGTACAGTACCCCGGTCACTACCTTGTTTTATATGCCCAAGGAAACATAATAGCAATCCAATGTAGAAGATAAATTATCGATCTAACTAAATAAAGTAATGAAAGCTATTTTATTATCTAAATACACCATGTAACATGCAGGAAATGTGATTGAGGTCTATCCTAGAGTATATACTACGAGATATGGATGGCTGTCATATAAATATAATTTTTCAAAGAACATATGCAGAGTACAAGTAAGACACAATCGAGGAAATTCTTGCTTACGATTCAATCAAGAAACTAAACCTTTCAATAGTGGAGTCTTGAATGACTGTCCCACCTCTACTATGTTTGGGTCCTTCCTATGATCAAGGATTGCCATCAACCTGTTATTGCAAGACTTGCACTATTGCAATGATTTCTCTTACTAGCTTACTAGTATCAACAATGATGATAAAACGTAACTATTCCCGAAATATAAAATAAAATCACCTAAAATATGTTATCTATGCTAAGCCCTGCCTAACTACTTACCGGGTCCAGAATTCTAAATGCATACACACCATAACTATCTGACACACGAGCCAGCATACAGCTTCTTCATTCCGACACCGTGCATACACTTACCTCTCTATGTGGATACTGTGGCGAAACTGGCACAAGGTAGGTCAAGGTCTAAATCTACACACACTCACACAAAAAAAATCTCATGTGCGGAGTGTTGTAGTTAAGTTGCTAAATTAAATGTAGCTATATATATATAGTACTCTGCCTGCATCGGTCTGAACATCCATAGAGGAAAAAGCAAAGTACTTAAAATAAATACATCAAGCAACACACCCATAGCACTGGAAGGAACTAATCTTGAGGAGGTGGATAGCTTTACATACCTCGGCAGCATCATGGACATACAAGGAGGGACAGACGCCGACATAAGAGTGGGAGTTGATAAGGAAAGAGCGGCATTTAACCAGCTAAAAAAAAGTGTGGAGCTGTAGCAATTTGACCCTCCAGACCAAGGTCAAGGTATTCAACACCACAGTGAAACCTGTCTTGCTATATGGAGCAGAAACATGGCCAACAACAGCAGCTGGTTCAAAAAAGTGACAGACGTTTATCAACTCATGTCTCCGAATGATTCTACGAAACCGCTGGCCCAACGTCATCACCAACGAGGATCTCTGGCGGCGCACACGACAAGTACAAGGGGAAGAGCTAATCTGCCAGCGCAGATGGAGATGGATTGGCCACACCCTCAGAAAGCCCGCATCAAGTATCACGAGACAAGCCCTCACTCGGAACCCCCAGGGCAAGAGAAAAAGAGGTCAACTCAAAACGACTTGGAGAAGGAAACTGGAGGCAGACACCAAAAAGAATGGGCACAACTGGGGACAGTTTGAGAGACTTGCCTAAAAGACCAGGATGCCTGGAAAGCCTTTGTTTGTGGCGTATGCCCCAGACGGAACGAAAGGCGATGATGATGATGATATATACCCTTTCGTTCCTCCCAAACTTCTAACCACGACACCTTGCAGTCGCTAATGTCAACCTTGATAGTAATTAAGTTATTTGGCCCCGCTACGCTAAACCACCGCCTCAAGGCATGTTGATGTAAGTCATAGACAACTATATGCACACACACATTTCCCCCTATGCGATAACAGCCGCAGGGGACAGGCATACCTTTCCTTCTTACTTTCCTGCGATTGGTGTACCTTTGGTTAGTACTTTGATCATAGCGTAACAGGCACCCTGTGACAGTAATTTAAGGTATATTGCCCTAATTTCCTTATATTCTTACGAAAACTTAAAATATTAAAATATTTTTTTTACGTCCGCAACAGAATCCAGTTATAGTGTATTGTATCATCAAAAGAAAAACGCAAAATTTCAAGGCATTTGTGATGTTTATTTTGCAAAATAGGAAATTAGAACTTCGCATTTTGTAAAGACGAATCTATGTATAGACATTGACCTTTCTCACATGTGTGGGTTTTTAAACATTTTTTATATGTAATATCGTTCAACAGAACCATTTTTTTATCGCCCATTAACTACACAGTAAACATGTTACAAAAGAAAATGTAAAATCAATTCCTTATATTTAAAAAAAAAAGAAGCTTTTTAATTATATGTAATATTAATGGACTTCCACATATTGGTATCTTCATTAAACATGTATAACCTCTGCCCCACTTTTGAAATTTGTAAACTGAAAATCGTTAAAACTTAACACTTATATTTAAAGCCGCTCCAATAACCCAATGTTTTGCCTTACAGTCTTGTGTTTTTTTTTAATCTATTCTCAGGTTCACAAACTTTTCCCTTGGCCCTAAACAGTGTTTTGTTCAAAAGGGACAAACAAGAAAGTTTACATAGGAGCGTCCATTCATTACGACAACTTATTTTAAGCAATTGTTACCCTCCCCCCCCCCCTTTTTTGTCAACAACTGTCAATCTTTCAATGCCCCTTAAGTAGTTATGTCTATATTTTTATAACTCCCCCCCCCCCTCCCAAAAAAAAAAGAAAATGAGTTACACTTACATTTTACAATGCAGAATCCATTAAAAGGTTGTTAAAGACTAACTATTATTGTTTGTGGAATTATAAATATGACTATTGTCAGTATAGCTGGCAATTGTCTATAGTTTCTAGCTGCTATCATCTTCACAGGGAGAAGTCAGAATTTGCTCTATCGTAATAATGGGCATAGTAGCTGATTTATCATTTTCATCTTGCGGAACTGATATACCAGACAAGTCAACACCATCCTCATCTAACCATTTAGCACTTAAAATAGAAGCATTTTCAGTGTGAGCACAAATTGCCATAAGCTCTCTCTGTCTCCTGGCAGCTACTTGCAATAGTCGAATCCTTTTTTTTTTGTTGAGGAGCAGGTAGTAATTTGAACATGCTATTTGAACATGACTTGTGATGCAAAATAGATGTTACAGATTTCGCAAATCCGTTCAAGCGGCGATGTTATTATTGTTACTCACTTTACTTTCCCATAACTCTCAAAATATCGTATTTCTACTCCATCAATATCAATTATCTTTACTGCACACGACAACTTAACCTTGTCCTGTTCCATACTTGCAGCACGACCGCAAACATACCGCCATACCGTCCATTGCGACAAACAGAATCGACAGGTGAAGGGAGGCCAATGTTTTAATTCTCTTGCACTAGCAAAGTGTGCTAACATTCTGACCAGCCATCAGCGGTGCACAGACAGACACACATTGAATACATATTTTACTGTTAAAAGCCTAATAATTATATAAATATTTTAATTAAAACTAATTAATTTTTTTAAAATAATGTAATAACCACTGAAGATTTAAAATTAAAATTTTAATAGACAAAACATGATAGTTGACGTCAAGTAATCTAAAGCCCCTTCCACCATGTCAACAATTGTCAAACATTTCCAAACCCCCTATTTTATTGAAATTACTAATGGATGACACCTTATATTAAAATAGAGTCTTAAAACCCATATTTTTTCTAGTCACTGAGTTGTACTGTCGGGAAATAGACAAATGTATGTATCTATTTTTTAAAGATTAGATTTTCACGCATGTAACGCTATATTGATTTTATATATTTTTATCCTTATCAATACCCACCCCCTTTCTTTAATATTTTAAATGTATTTTCACCAAGATTTTAAAAAACTTTTTTTAATTTAAAAAAAAAAAAGAAAATTACCCATCCGTTACTCTAGACATCGAACAGTGTATAATTTAGAAGCGTGGATAAATTATGATGTCCTCAGTTTCTTAGAAAAAACGTTTGTTTTCTTTTTCAGTTCACTAAGTTTTGAGGTAAGGTTAAACGTATTTTAATGTGTCCAGAATGTTTCAAAGACGTTGACTTCATTTCCCGAACTTAATCTAACATTTATTAATGGAAAGAAAATATAAAAACTCATTTTCCCGACTGAAGTATCATAGAATTTAAATCTATATATATCCACAAAACAAAGCACATACTCTGTTTAAATTAATGACATATATATTTTTTGTAACTATTCTTTAACTTTAAATTCTATTTTTTTCCGTAATAAATTTAATAAATTGCATATATTGTGTAGTAAAAAAGTACCACTGATTAAATGATAAAAATACAAAGTTTAAAGTGTGAATAGTGTTAAAACAAATGTCTTTCTTATGATTAATCTACCTATAAAGGATGCAGAATTGTCACACTGAACAATATAAAGTGTGTTTTTTTCTTCTATTTTTGATCTCTATTTGATAAATTGCTATATCATCACAAAACTAAGGTAGATTAATCCGTGTAATTTTCGACAGGGATTGATCAGAAAAAAAAAAAAAAAAATTATGAAACATGCTTCTGACTCAGAACTTATTTCGCTCCCGCCAATATTCAGGCAAAATAAAAAATATATTTTATAATTTGTATTCATTTATAAACCTTCTTTCAAAAAAATATTTGTATCGATTCCAACATTGTGCACATTATTTATTTTTTGATAGCACGATTATAGTTTAGTTCTAGTAACTTTTTTTAATAGAGATGGGAGCATAGAAAATGCTCAGTTCTTGTTTTCCTTGTCAGATTATCACAACAATTTTAAAAAAAAATTTTTTTTACTTTAAATCAGAAATCACAATATAGGGATGAGAAAATGGAAATAAAGATACTTTCAAAAAATAAAACAAAATAAAGAAAAGAAATAAGCCTCTGAAATGAAATGATTACTTGTGATCAAATGCGTCCTTTGATACCATCGGTGTCTTTTTATGCCCAATGCAATGCAACCTTTGACACATTCAAACGATGCATCTATAATGTGAAATATTTTTAACAATATCAAATAATATTTTCCATTTGACTAATATTTCTTCGAACGTGAACTTTTATTCTTTAATTTCTTTGCAGGCCCAATAAGTGAAACCGATTCCAAAAGTATTTGGGAAAGCATTTAGACGTTAAATGTTCTGGTGTAATAAATGGAATCAATTTGAACTGTCTGGTATCATGTTCAAGTCACGATGAAAAATGCAGTTTTTAGGAGGTATTTAAGATAGTAATTATATTAATTGTTTATTTAATGTAGATTACTTGGTGGAAGGAGAACAAACTATATAACAAACTCAACCAGAATGTAAGACATGATAATGATGTTAATTTTATCATATATTAATTAGGTCATATCACACGGGATGGTGCTTCCTCAACATTATTTACACCCCCTCCCCCTCCAATTACTCCCATTCATAATTTTTTTGTCTTTTAAATCCCATCTTCATTTTAGTCCAAATTTTCTCCTTTTGCGAAGTTTTCCTACCAAAATAAAATATTTTTCTCCACCATCATTCCCACATTATTCTTCTCGCAACTGCATCATTGCGTTTTAAACGTAACCACTTGCTACTAAAACTTATGAACGTTATCTCCACCTTTGACAAATAACTTCGCTTCCATCCATCTCCTTCTTCTCCAATCATCTCTCCATCCAACGAAACTCTTCCTTTTTCACCATTTTGGCCACTTGCCTTTCGTCAACACTGATAAAGAACTCATTTCCTTTTTCCTTTTCTAATGTTCACCCCCACCCATAAAGTTCAGCGCATCTTCCATCCGACCCAGCCCTGAAAACCCCAAATCATCCACTTAACCCGACCATTCTTTCCTTTCCAATCTTCTACTATTTACCCCCTCTCCACCATGGCAAACTTTACCCTAATAAAACGTATACTTCTTCACATGTCCTAGCACTGCTAGCACAAAATGGGGTTAGTTATATGTACTTCAGTGTACTTAGATATAGATAACATATAGTATTTACTATTAAATAGGGTGTGTGGTACTCATTATTTTGAGTTGTTAAAATATAAAGATAAATCAAACATGTACAATATATGTAAATTAATTTTTAAAAAAAATAATAATTTGTTAATAAAAACTGAGTGCCAATTGAGTAGCTTTCATTGCAGGTTTTCTTTGAGATTTCTGACTAGATTGCCAACTCTATTAATTTGTTGTTGATATTAATTCATTGGTTGAATGGGGTCGTTAACTGGCAAGGAGGTATAGATAACGTGGCATAGTGTAATAGTCATATTACGTTGTCAAGAGGGATTACTTCGTATACGACTAGTATTATGATTTATGACGTGCGCGTGTGGATTATTTATTTTCAAAATATAATTCCAAGGTTGAATTAAAAAAATAAAAGAACTCCATTTCTTTCAGACGGTATTCATCAACCAACTAACTGGAAAAGACGTGACCGCATTGGTAGAGGTGCTCATGGGGTAGTTTTTGAAGCTATTAAAGATGACGCTCCTATTGCTGTAAAGGAGGTTTCGATGTATGAAGAAGCAAATTCCGAAAAATCGGTATCTATATTATATATAAGAATGTGACAGGCTTGACATATAATGCAAAAGAAATTTAAAAAATTTAAATACGTTCCGATTCTTTTTATTAATATAGTGATTTTCAATTATTTTACGGAAATCCAATAAATTTAAATGCGCAAAAATAAAATATCAGCTTTTATTTTTATTATATATTTGAAGCATTATTATTATAAACTGCAAATACGTTTAAAATGACAATTAAAGAACTCTATCAAAATTAAGATCTAAAGAATTACATCCTAGTAACATTTTTGTATAAGGAAAACCCAAACATCTAATGTTTTTAAAGTGTTTTTAGTGCGTTGTTATTAATGCGCAATAAAAGTAAACTTACTTTTTTTTTTAACTAGAAAAATCAAATAGAGTAAAAATTAAATCTATTGACTTACAGTTCAGCAATGAACTTGTACCGGTACAATGCTGCACGAGCACGTGGTAAAAACACACGGAGAGTAAATATTAATATACAAATCTTCGTCTCATATCGAAATAGTCACTCTCTCCATCCGCTCTAGGTCATCCTATATGTCAATGGGCGTATTTATATTTTTTTTTATAGACTTTTTACAGAAAAGGGTTGCACATTGTATCCCTGTCTCGGCCAGATTCGATATTTATACAGAATTTTAATTCGACACAGAATATACACTGTATTAACTTGTAATCAAGGTGTAGGAATACAATTTATAATTAATCTACAACCTGTCGCGGTACCGCTAAACTTTGAGTCACCCAGAGTTCATGCCCGAGTTTCACAATGTAAATACGAGCGCCTATCATAGCAGTGTGTTGGCATACATATGTTACAAGGCAACACTTAGTAGTATAGAATAAGAGTGACACAGATTTAAGAACAATTAAACCAGGCTCTAGGAATAAATGATGCCACTTCCAATATTCTTTAGGTGCTCAAAACATGATTTCTTTGATAAGGGAAACTAATTCCTTTAAGAAGCTACGCAACTAATGGTAAAAGAAAATAAGAATTTTTAAAACACTGGCTTCAGTGCAAGCATTGCATTGGTCCTTTTCAAAGTTCGTGTGAAAATTTACAATAATTTGTCTTGATATTTTTTTGGTTTGCTAATTAGCAAGATTATAGAAAAACCCTTATTAACACGAATGCAAAATAATATATGTCTCATTCAAAACAACTTTGACTTTTTTATCTTCTTCAAGGTGGCTCTTTATAATGAAATAAACATTCTGAAATGTTTACGCCATGACCGGATTGTCAGATACTTTGGCCATTGTACTTCAAATAAGGATTTATTTCTTTTTATGGAATACATTCCTGGGGTAAAAGATTTAAATTGTACTACATTATACACTAGATTAATTAACAAAAAATAAATGTCATATTATGATGAGTGAATCTGCATTTAGTGGTGTATTATAATTGAGATGCATAAATTCATTTGTTCGTTCTTCTTTAACTTTAAAATGATGATAGCATTAAAACAAATCACTCAATATGGCATAGCAGCTAAGAGAGTTAAATATTGCTTTTAATGAAGGGTTCATTGGAAGTTTATTTTAAAACGAACTCGCCGCTTCAAATTCAATTCATCAGAGATATAACAAAGCAGACACTTCAAGGTGTGGCTTATTTACATGATAACAGAATGATACACAGAGATATAAAAGGTAAAATTTCGCTTTTTTTAAAAAATATTTCAATGCTTGTTTGTAAAACTAGACTTTAGGCTTTTTGCAGTTTCTTTTTTTTTTAAATATATCAAATTTTAAAAAAAAATGTTATCAACTGGTACATTTATCAGATGTCTTATAGTTTTTTGGTTGTTTTTTTTTTCATTTAGTTTCCTTTATTAAGTAGAAAATGCAAACAATGTATAGTTTATGGTTTAAAAATACCTTAACCAATAGAAGCATTGAGAAAAAAATGGCGATAAACACACAGGCACACACACAATAAAAGAGAAACAGTAGCTTTGGATTCATGGTAGCACTATTGACCTCCTGTAGTTTTTCTTGGAGGTAGTTATATTTCGGATGTTCTCCTTGAGCTTTCGGCTGGGTTGCTCTGAGGACTATTAGTCAACACTACCACATCAGACGTGTGCCTTCTATCTTTCTAAAAGCTCTTCAGTAGCGCTTTACATTTTTTATGGTATATTATATTTTATTATATTTGCTATAATTTCAATAAATTAAATCTTTTTTTGTCTCTCTAGCGGCAAATATTTTGATGGAAGAACGATTTCAAATAAAACTTGCAGACTTTGGCGTTTCAAAAATGTTTCAAGAGCTCTCAAGAACTGCAACATTTATCGGCACTACGAGATGGATGGCCCCTGAAATGTTCACAGCTTCAACATATAGCTATGAAGTTGATATATGGTACACTTGTGTAATATGAAAATGTATCTCTTAGCAATTACACTGGCAAACAAACGCTTTGGTGCAAGATAAGTAATGCTTGTAACATTGAATACTAACCCAATGTTTCCATCCACCTTATTTTGCTAAGTTAATAACGAAAACCCGGATTTATAATAAAACAATTCAATTATTTAAAAAAAAACTGATTCTAGTAAAGACATTAAGAATAAGATCTGCCAAGATAATCCCATTTAACTAAATTCTTTTACCAGCTCCACATTCGTTTTTTCCTCATATTTCTTATTTTCTAAGTGAAATAGTTCACTTCTCTTTTTCTCTTTTGCGAAAGTGACAAAAATTATCTGGAAAACGATTAGAGTGATTGCAAGAAAGATTTTCACAAGTAGATAAAAGTTTTTAAAAAAAACAAGACGTCACATTGGAGAAGGCGTCGATGGGTCGTCGAGCGCGAGCTCTCAATATCCCCCCTTGGCTCAGCCCCATACCGGCCGACGCTGGGTCTCCCCGCCGCCAGACCTTGCAAGAACCTCCCCACTGGCCTGGGTTGCATTTAAAGCGTTTGCGGTCTACTCTCCTTGGGTCTGAACGGCTTTGCTTCCTCTCCGGGGAAAGGTGTTGCGTTACCGACCCGGACCATCCAGGGAGCCGTCCAGTTGGGACGTAAGCGGGGAAAAAAAGCTAGACATCACTTTGGAGATGGTGTCGGTGGGTCGTCGAGTTTGCACTCATAACACCCCCCCCCGGCACTCCCCCAAACGGGCCAGGGCCGAAGCCCCAGACCATGCGAAAGCGCGCCGGGAACTTCCCTCCTGGCCTGAAGGACGTCCGGCGGACCGAGGGCGCTTCGTTTAAAGCGTCCGTAGTCCACTCTCCTATGGGTCAGGACGGCTTTACTTCCTCTCCGGAGAGGTGGTGTTGCGTTACCACTCCCCACCGCCCAGGGAGCTGTCCGGTCAGGACTTAGCGGGGACGAAACGGTCGCCTAGGGGAGGCTTTCTCAGGGCCGCGTATTTTTAATCATTGACAAGGATTTGGGCGGCCACCCATTGTCTCATACCCATCAACGGCAACAAGTAATCATGTTAGCGCTAAACTTCCGTTGCGTTGGAAGTCATGTATTTTGCCTGGTATCTTTTAGCTTCAGAAGGAAAACTCCCCCTACTATTCGGTCACGCCACGAAGAGGCAAGATCCTATGTAACACCACCGAGAGGCTTGTGGTGCTGGGCATCGACCTCACAGAGCTCAGTCTTTGCCCGACCGACAAAAAACTAGACATATGATTCGATTTCACTTATTAAAGACATGAAATCGCACTCATGTTTTCATAACAGTGAAACTTAAAAACAGTCCTGCCTTTCTTTTTCTTTAAAAAGGGCCTGATTAAATATAAGCTTTGCATTGAAAGTTTGAACTGTTTAGTACATTATACGTCAGCTTTGTAGATGTCAAAGGAGCGTGTTTACTTTGAATTATATGCGACACCTACGTTTCATGTGCCGGCATTACAGGAAACATTGTAAAAGCTAAAAAAAACGTTTTAAACTAGATGCTTATTACCGTACCATTTCGCCACAACAGTTCTAGTAATTTACATTGTCTTAAGTGGTTGATTTTATTCACTGAGTAAAAATTTCATTAGATGCTATAGATTTTGTGTGTGTGTGCGCAAGCCTTTGATGTTTGCTTTTAATCCCGAACGTTTAAAATCATATTTGAACAGGGCAGTTGGCTGCACAGTTATTCAAATGTTGACAGGATCTCCTCCGTTTCCTGATAAGGAAGAACAACAAGTAACATTTCATTTGATCAAACAGGATTTATCACCGCTCTATAGTCTGAAAAATATAAATTCAAAAGAAACAATGGATTTTTTAAGAAGCATATTAAAAAATGACCCAAAAGAAAGGCCAAAAGCAAAGACTTTGCTTGAAAATAGTCCATTTGTAACAGTTAGGCATACCTGTAAGTTGCTTTTTAAAATTAATTTAAAGACCCATAATAATATTTCTCATTTTTCAATTTCTTGAAAATTGTGTTTTCCTTGAAAAATATGTTCATTAAGTAAATTTAAAATACTTGTGAGAAAAAAAAAATCTATGACACTTAAATGTGAATATTTTTGTATACAAAATTAATATAATTTTGTTTAAATAATGCTGCTTTAAGAGAATTTAATTTTAAAAATAAATTTCAATTGGTCTTAAATTTCATATTGTCTAGCATGATATTGATATTAACTTTAATTCCCATTCTAATAGCTAGTAGCCTATATTATTTAAGTAAGAAATGTTCCTATCAATAATGAAAAGAAACAAATTTCTAATCTATACAGGAGGCTAATTTAAAACGTATTGTTTAATTGTTATATTTAATTACATTTTTAAATAACGCTCGTCTTTTTTTATAAATAATTTTTTTTTTTTTTAAACTAACTTCTTTTCTTTACATTAATGATTCTTTAGCTCAACAGATTATCCATTACCAGCATTCAAGGTACTTTATGAATTTTATAATTAAGTTAAATTCACTTTATTTTTTTTTTTAATATATCAATCATTAAGGGAAAGTAATGCGATATCTATTCATTTGATAACAATTTTTACTAAATTATGACAAATCAATCATTAAATACTTCTATCTTGACACATATTACGCTAGTGTTATCTACAAAATATATAGGCTGTATTTGGTGCTGTCATTAGGGAGATGCGTTTCGCACAGTTTGAGACTCTCACATGCAGGGTGATAGCTATGGTTGCAAAAACATTACTATAAAAATAATTATTAAAAAAAACAATCGAAAATAATGGTATACATTTTGACACGTTGGCCAAACACGCTTCTGAGAACAAACAAAAGATATGCTTCCATTTTTTTTTTATTTGATAAAACAATTTGAGATATTTTTTTTTTTTTTAAAGATTTTTAGAAATGTCAAACTTTTGAGGTTTTGCGACTCAAATTTCAGTCGATCTATAAATATTCCCTGCCTATTTCTAGTGGAATGATTTAGAACTTGAAGAAAAGTCAATCGTGTCTTTTTACCCGATATCTGGATTTCTTTCAAAGGACGAATATCCCTCTATTTACAATCATGCCTTGTTCATGACATCACCATTTGGAAGCTGTTTTCAATGAGTAAGAAAATGTGCAATAAAACTAGAACCAAGATATGGTATGATCCCCTTGAGAACTCAATGAGAAATTCAACTACTTCTATTTCTCTCAAACCAAATATCGAAGTTTACTTTCTCATGTTGAAAATACTAAATGCAGACAATAGACAAATTGAAGATTATCAACCACTCCGGGGAGGACCAGACCCTTTAATAAGTTCAATATCTTGGGAAGAAACTACAGAAGTAATCAATTCTATCGAAAAACCACAAAGCCCTGGAGGAAAACTCATCCGATCATAACTCATTAAATATGGAGGAAGAAAACTACACACTCTGGCACATAAACTTATAACTGAAATTTGGATATAAGATAAAATTTCAACAGAATGGAAAATAGCCCTAATTAGTGCAACGTACAACAGGAAAAATGCAATAGAATCCAATGAGGATTCAGACAAATTTATCAACGACTGATCACATCAACTCTGTGTGTATTTTAATTAAAATGGCCTATGGAAGCATAAACAAAGTATCTATATGAGACTATGCAGAGTTTATCATATCCAACAAACTGACATTATTATGGAATTGTGGATTATGGAATGCATGGTTTGCTTTTAATTAGTCTAAAACACCAAATAATACCGTAAGTTCCTAAAAGAGAACAGTTACAGTTTAATTGTATATGACCAGATGAAAATGATATGCATGCAAATATGCTCCACTGGAGTAAAAAGATTAAATAATGAAGAGAAGCAGGTGAAGATGGGACATGCTCAGTTCATAAATTTTAATTCACTACCGGTATGGATCAACATAACTTAATGAATTATTGGTTCTTGTAGATTACATATCAAATCAAATAGGATAAATTGCTCTTTTATTATTGTATATCAAATCAAATAGGATAAATGGCTCTTTTATTATTGTAGGTTACTCTGGATGCAACTACTGTGCCTACTTAATCGGATTGCCATAACATTAGAAGATACAAAATATGAGCATTTTAATACACAAACTTAATGTGGACAACAAAGGCCGAGAGTGTAATTCTTCCATTTTAATAAATTTACGAGTGTTAGGCTAAAAGTTATATTTCTATTAATCTGAAAAAAAATAGTTTGGAATTATTTTTAAAAAAATATGACAGCTTTTGTCTTTTTTAATTTGGAAGAATGAATCTGTCAGTGGAAGACTTTGTTGATAATTCATATTTTTTATGAAGCGATATAAATAATTATAACTGGGGATGCTGTTTAATTGCCTTAGGTTACTTTGTAATGAAAAGAAATAATTTGAGCTTTATTAGAGTTTATGCAATGGGTAAAAAATTCAAGACTGCGTGTTTTCCCTTTGTTAAATATATGAGTCATCTGGAAGACACAAATGGTAAAATTTCAGATATGCGTCTATGTGTCCCACTTGTGGTGTATTTTAGAAAATCAAATGTTAAGATTGTGTATATCCACTTGTATTATATGCTAAAAATACTAGTATTTCTCTCTTTAAAAAAAGTGAATTAATTTTTTAATTTCTATTTTTAATAACAGAAGGGGAAAAAATCACTGTTTTTTGGGGTTTTTTTTTAAATTTTATATTTCTAAATGCATTTTTGAAAGTTGCATTTTTAATTAAAGTAGGTCAAATTTGCTTGAACATTTTTTTTTTTTTGCGTGTTGAAAAAATGGATTCAATTTATTATTCTAATAAAACATTTTTTCTTGGTTTTAAATTTTTTTTTCCTCTTCTACTTTTTTACTTTTTTTTAAAGATTTATTGAAAGTTGCATTTTTAATTAAAGTAGGTCAAATTTGCTTGAACATTTTTTTTTTTTTTTGCGTGTTGAAAAAATGGATTCAATTGATTATTCTAATAAAACATTTTATCTTGGGTTTAGATTTTTTTTTCCACTTCTACTTGTTTACATTTTTGTAAAGATTTAGCCAACCTAAAACCCTTATTGTGTGGCCATAAATCAAGACATAGTAAACTGTGACCTAACAATTGGTATCAAAAAATAAATAAATCAATACTGAATCCCATGATATATTAAATTTTATTATTATAATGATTTTCATTGAATAACCAGCCAGATTGAAGAAGAGCCTCCTAATGAGAGAAAAAAACATAAAAGAATGGCAAGAATCATTGAGGAAGACGAGTTAAATTACTATACTGTTCTCGAGGATTGTTCAGAAAACCAAGACAAGGTAGTGATAGTATTTTTTTTTAAAGAAGTAGCTATTCATTTTATTTAAGGACGCTAAAATATTTCGATGCATAGCTTAGACTTAAAGCATTTTATGTTGCCCTAAAACAAATGCGCCATCGTCTAACACAGTGGTTCTCATTCTCCAAATGCCATGACCATTTAATACAGTTCCATAATTTGTGGCAACTCCCAACCACAAAACAATTTTCGCGGCTACTTCATAAATGTTAGGTATATATGTTTTTCGAAGGTCTTAGACAAACCTTGAGAAAGGGTCATTCGACCCACAAAGGAATCACAGGTTGAGATCCACTGGTCTAACAATACGAAAATGTTTCCTAAACTTTGAATTCTTTACCTTCTCACATTCTGCTCTTAAAACTGTGGGAAGGTTTTGTTGAACTTAACAATTGCCAACGCCTTTTTGGACATGATAAACGACATCTTGGCTCGGGGTAACAATGTCAATCTCCAATCGTTACCATGTCCCATTGAGGTAACGCATAAAGAGAGAGCGGAAATAAATCGTGGAGCTCGGAGGCAACAAGAGACTGGCACAAATTGAATAGTATCGGTACCCAAATGACGACTGAACAATGCCCGAAAACTGTGATAAACTAAATATATTATTAAACATTTGGCTCGAAACTACAAAAGCATGAACCACATGAATACAAAGTTATTATTATTATTTAAATTTACTCTGGTCTTTAGAAAAATTCCAATTACGCGATTTTAGGATTAATACGAATCATATGTTATTTAATATCTGAGACAAAAATAAATTCTGTAAGTGTGTCTTAATTTAGTTTTCTACAGTATTTCTTTTCAGTCGAACATAGCAATTTAAAAAAAAAATTCTACATATTAAGATTTTGAAAAAAATCCAAAAATATGTTTACTTATTTACAGAATCTCCATATTGCAGAAGCTCAACAACATTTAGTTGACGTGCCATGGTTTCATGGCGTGGTGCCAAGAAAGGAAATAATCAGGCTTTTAACTAATGACGGAGACTTCCTTGTGCGACAATCAAAGAGCTTTGACACCAAAGAAACACAATTTGTTCTCAGTGTTTATTGGGGAAGTCTGCGTCATTTCATCATTGCGTTTTATCTGGTCAGTGTTTTCTCCTTTTTTGTTATGTCATTGTTAAGCACTGACTTGTATTGGGAGAAATTAATGTCCTACTTTAATTTTAATTGGCTCGTTGTTAACAGTGCCTAACAAAGGACGATACCATTGAGTCCACAACGTTAAAGATACGACACCCAAAACAGTTTCTAGTTACAATTAATTAAGATTTATTAAGTCTTAAGATAATTACAAAAGAAAAGAAAATATAATGACAATCTTCAACTTACAGTATGGTAGATCTCGTACCGGTACACAGTTAATACGGTTAGAATAATGTGCCAATGAGTAAGGCGAAATAAACACATATAAGCTCACAAATACACAAAGAATAAAACACGTCTCGTGAAGTTATAAATCTATCTGAATCCCTGTCCCTCCGTCCGTGCCTGTCAATCCCTTATATAGGTCGCGTAATCCCTGCCTTTCAGAAAACTTATGACGCTTCTAGAACAATCTCATTCATTCTACAAAATACTACTTGGAACAGATTAATTATTTTTAGTAGCTGGCGGCATAAACACCAATAGATCAAAGGACTAAGCCACACCCCTCTGTGAACACAGCGTCTCATGCGGGGTCAATCATAGGTTACGCACGAGAAAAATTATGTAAACAAGCTCTATATAACAGTCATACAAAATATTATGATAGGTTGAATTTTGTTGTAAACACCCATTTTATAACTTTCAGGAAAAAGGAAAACTACGTTCCGAGAATGGAGCTTAGACAACATTCAATTCTTTTAATTTTTATAAAGTTACCAAGACATCCTCGATCATCAAAACATGGCCATTTTAAAGAGCTTGAAAGCACCTTAGAGAAATTTCTTACCATAACTGTACCACAATTTAGAAGGGATCGGTCTCTCGGTCTCATTATAATTTGTGTTTAATGAATGAAAACATTATTTAACGTCTAACACGGCAATATTAATGTGTTAACAGAATATGATATATAAATTATAGGTTAATTTCCAACCAGCTTTATGATTAACTTGCTAAAAAAAACAATCATAAGGATTTAATGATGGCATCTTCTTATTCTTTTTATGCGTTTTTACTCCAGCTGGGGCATAGGCCGTCCACAAGAATTTTCCACTCATCACGGTCCTGTGCTTTCCAGTTGCTTCCAGGTGTATACCTTATTTTGCGTGTCTGCCTCTAACTCGCGTCTCCATGTATTCTTATGCCTTCCTCGCCTTCTTTTTCCCTGTGGATTCCACGTTAGGGATTATCTGGTGATTAATGGCATGATCATATAAAAGTGTTTCGAGTTTATTTATAACGAAGCGCGTTCGTTATCTAGTTTGGTGTTCAAAGTGTTATTGTTTGTTTTTTTCCCTCGGAATATTATTTTATAACTAGCTATACATGATACATTTTTAAATTTAAGTTTATATGTCTTTCTTTTAGTTTGCACCAGCTACAAAGTATTGAAAAAATAAAATGGAACACCCCCCTCTCCCACACACACACAATTTAAAAAAAAAAAAAAATTAAATATATGCACTTATGCGTAATAGTGAAATGAACAAAAAGACATTTATATCATATTATTTAAAAATCACTAATGGTCGAGGAATGTACTTATTAGAAAAAAACAGACATTTATGTGATTATCATTCATCAAACTTAAGATTAAAATAGTAATAAACAGATAAAATAAAAACTATACACTATATTTCGGAATGTCATTAATATGAGAGGGAAGCCAAATGCGTTTCGTCTAAATCGCGTTTCATTAACAACAACAACAAAAAATACACGCTGACTTTTCGAATCAATTATATCAACACTGCGCTTCTGTTTATAGCTGACTGGGTGGAGGACTGGCAAAATCTTCGGATGACCCACTTTCCGCCTACCTGTCGAACTACAACTTGGCACATCTATTCGCTACCGATGACAAAACATTCTTTAGCCCACTTCCAGCCAGAACCCCCCCCCCCCACCAAAAAAAAAAAATTACCCCTTTTTCATAGGGGAGATGACGGAAATATGAAGACACTGATTTAACGAAATAGAATTCCGGAATAATTGCGCTAATGAGATTTTGTTGTTTTTTTTGTTGTTTTTTTTTTTAATTTCGTAAGTGCGTTTGGTGCATAATATTTTCTTTTCTTTTTTTTTTTTCTTTCTGAAATAGTTGGTGAAATGAATATGCGGTGTAAGAGTGGGTGAGCCATTAGAACATTAAAATAATTTCAGGGCGGTAAAATAATGTGCCTGATGGGATGGGGGCGGAGCACAAATCGGGTTTTTTATTAAGCTGGTTACTTGTAGGAATGTTTTGTCACATTTTTAGACCAAACCCCCCACCACTGTTGTCGATCTTACATTTAATACAGATTTTATGCGGAAGATTTGTTTTTAGGGTGTATTAAATTTAGTTTAATTAAATCCTATATTTTAACTCTGCTTTTGTTTGTCGCTGGCTGGCTGTCAAAATTTTCGGTCGGCCCATTCCTCAGCTCTCGTCAACAAATTCAGCTGAGACTTATCACAATGACTCTCTACAGCACAAATGACAACACATTTTTTTTATAAAATTGTCAGCATCAACACCCAACCACAAAAAAAAAAAATAAAGTTTTCCTGTTTTTAATGGGGAATATTATCGAAATATAATGACACTGATTTCATCAAATGCCATTCCCGATAACCGCGGTACATGAAATTCTTAAAAAAAATATCGCAATTGCTTTCGGTACGTAATAATTTATATTGGTTTTTTTCTTAAATGGTTGGTGTATTAAATCTGCAGCGTAAGAGCGGGTTGGTAATTAGAATATTAATGTAGTTCAGGGGCGTGAAATTTTTTTTTGTTTCGAGCGTTTGAGAGAGGGGGGTATTAACTTTTTGAGCAAAGGGTTTCGACATGTCATCCCCCCCCCCATATTTTGAGAACCCGCGATCAATTTATTGATCCTCAAAAAAAAGGTTAAATGTAGATTTCAGATAAATAATTTGAATTAAAAATGTTTAAAATTTCAATTTAATCTCTTACAGCATTTGAATGGTTGGGGCCTAGAGGGCAAACATTATCCCACAATTCAAGAATTAGTAACTGACATGGTTGAATCCTCTGCCTTTGTTACTTTAAAGTCAAGAGCTATTTTGAGAAGACCAATTCATAGAGAGTGGGAACTGCTCCATGATGAAGTTGTAATATTTTATGAAATCTTACGGGTAGGTCTTTAGTATTTTTTAAATGTTATTTCTCTAATTATGCTTACGAAGTTTTAAAGGCATACATTTGTCTTTTCCTAAAGTTGAATATACTTAGTTTATTTAACTAAAATAAAAATATAAAAATGCTCTATTTTTAGCGGCCTTTTTTTTTTTCCACAATTTTGTTATACTACTTAACACCTGTCCGTTTTCATTATTTTATTATGAACTTATATACGATTTTCTGAAGGGTTCTTTTGGTGAGGTATTCAAAGGAATGTACAAGAAAACATGTCATGTGACAGTGAAAACATGTACAGACAGAAATACAGAAGATGAAATTATCGAGTTCCTACGACAGGGTCGTCTTCTCAAACAATTCAATCATCCAAACATCGTCAGCTTCATTGGCATCGCTGCACAGAAGCACCCCATCATGATTGTCACGGAGTTCATGCCAAGTTGGTTAACATTACAACAATAAAATTTGTGTTTAATTGGTTTTTTTTTATAAGGCTTATGTTCAGCTATGTTTGACTATTTATAATATCGTATGCATATATATATTTGCCTCGTGTTTTCGCCCTGCTTCCTCTTTATAAACGGCCCGCCCATAACACCACATGCTATATATTTTCATTACCGAGTGTTCAAAGTACGGGACGCAACTAGCTTTCATGCGTGACGTCTCAACTCCAGTAAAAGGGTTGATTTTTTGTTTTCTGTATAGGGAGGCGACTACTAAATTAATCAATACGGAGCTAAGGGTCTGGTGTAGGACTTTCTTTAGGAATGTGTTTAGGGCCCTTTTTAAAAAATAGACAAGTAGTGTGTAGGACTGTCAGAGTACCTATTACTTTAAGGCTGGCATTTAAAAAAAAAAATTATGACAGGTTAACATTTTTTTTCGGTAACAATTGGATCCACTGGGTATTTTCTTAAAATATATTTTTTTTTTTTAAAGTTCACCCAATTAAGCCCTAGTGTTATATTTCTTTTTTTCTTGTCTAATTTTCTTTTCAAAGGGTTGGTAAGAATTGAGAAATTGGATTAATAGGAAAAATGTAATGCTAGCATTACAAATGTCCTTATCGAAATAAAATATAAGTCGACAACAAAAAATGTTACAATTTTTAAATCACTAGATGCGCTTATCTCTTATTTAAAAGACAGAAATAAATGTATTAAAGTAATAACTTTATATAGGATGGTAAAGATATTAAAAACAAATGTAGATTCAAGCGAGATTACTTAAAACAATCTATATCACTTTTTTCATTGCCATCATTGTAATATATTGCAAATGTCTAAAATGCTATGTTATCGGAAAACTTTTTTGACATAAGAGGACATATACTATGACAAACATGGCCATCAATAAACGCAAAATACTTTTAAATGTTATAGCAAAGTGATGTTTTTTCTCTTAAAATGTATAACAAGTTATCAAAGATATTTTTGTGTGTGTTGTAATCGAGATTTACAACGTTTAGATTCTTTTTAAAATGTTCTTTTGAAGCATCTTTAAAAGCAATCATCAACTAGATTAATATTAAAATATAGACTAGTTTGCATATCCTTAATGGGATGAAGTTGTTTCGTTTTCAAGTATTTAGTACGTTATAAATAACTAGGTAGCATCTGTATGCAAACTGCACAAAAATTACTAACGTCTAATCTTTATTTATATTAATTGCTGTATTTATAATCAATTTTGTTCTGTCAGGCGGGACATTACTTTTATTTCTAAAGACCATCGGAAAACAGCTGTCGATCATAAAACTTGGACAAATGTGTGCAGACGTTGCCTGTGCCATGGAGTACCTGGAAGAAAATAAAATAATACACAGGTGCGTAATAATTCGAAAGAAATTGTGGACTAAATTATTTTTTAAATTTGTGTTTATTTTACTGTCTTCAGCATAAAATATCCCCAAAAAATGAATTAAACAAACAAACTAAGGCAATTAAAGACAAATCAGTATAAAAGCTGTCTTAATACGTTAAATCAGATGCTGAATTGTCTGAGACCCAATCGTAAATGAAGCGCTATCAACGAGATTGCAGTAATTAAAATAATTTAGGCATGATTATGTAAAATTCTAGAATTTTAAAAATTTATATTAATAGAAACACACCAAATTAGACTAGGACTAGAGGAAAATTAAGGACTAGTAGTAAGAGAGTAAGCCAAGTGGTTATTGGGTGTGGAAAATCTAAATTCATTTGTTTTTATTCCTCTCCCTCTTCCAACTCGACCAAACTTCACCACCACTTTTATAATTGCGGAAATAAAGTTCAATGGTGAATATTATTTTCTTCCAATGAGGAATCTCTTACCGTCAACAGCGTCCCAATATGTATCTGCTTTTTTCACGCCAGAGAACAGGGAGTTATGCGCCACTGCTCAACTAACTTACAGATTCAAGATGCAGTAGCTTCAGTACTGCTAATTTTGACACAAACGGAATATGATTATTTTTAGAAGAATACAGTATACCAATACTCATCTCGATGTGGAGCATTTGTAGAAAGTGTTAACACATCTCATTGTTAAACAATTCCTAAAGTTCGCAACCCTGTGGAAATCCAGTTGTTTCATCATCTTAGAACATATTTCGATTCATCTTTAAATAACTACAGAGCCTAAAGCTCCGAAACACTTAATTACGAATGAAGTAATTATTGAACATTAAGCAATTACCTACTGAAAAATATTAACAACGAAACATATAACTACCGAAGAAATGAATGCTGAAAACCAAGGGCAAAACAAATACCCGTTAAAGAAATATCTGCTGAACGACTAGCTTTATTATAAACACGATATATACATTATGGACTTGAGTACACGATCATAAACATAATTGTGAATATTATCCTTGCTTTACAGAGATTTGGCAGCGAAGAGTTGTTTGGTTGGTGCAAACAATACAGTAAAACTTTCAGAATTTAGATTGTGCAGAAAAGGACTTTTGTATACTGATTCCAAAATCAATAGCATGGAAGTCTCAATTAACTGGGCAGCGCCCGAGTCTTTAAAGTTTGGTATGTTTCCTTTTTTTTTTGAAAAAAAACTTAGTAGAGCGAACATTGGTGCGTCATTACCTGCACTTTTTTTTTTCTCATTATGTTTATGTTAAGCCATGAGTGTAGGCTCTGAACATTTAACAGATAAAGATTGCAATTATTTTCAAACATAATTATAGATTTTTTTCAAAAGAATGTTTGAAAAGGCGATAACATTCTTGAAAGATACTGTATCTATGTTGATGTGATTATGCTCATCATTTTGATACACCTCTTATTTCATTCCCAAAAAGTCTGTAAAGATTCGAATAATCTAAAGACACAAAATTGTAGCTCATTCCATGGAAATTTCTATAAAGTTGAAAATCTTTTTTGAATTGTTTGCAAACTTACATAAAAACCGCTTATGTGAATAAATAATGAGATTATATATAAACTTTAAGATTGTTATTAGATAATCCATCTTAAATATCTAGAGAAATACCAGTTTATATAAAACTTACAGTTAAATGAATATTTCAAAAAATCTTCAGAGACACTTAAAGCTATATCATAAACTCTATCAACTTATCAACGTTTTCTTGATGCTTAACTCTTGTAATTAAAACAAAAAAATGTATATCTCCCATATAGTTGTCGATTGCAAAGAGCAAAAAGATAACTCAAACAAAACAAAATGCCCGAGCATCAGTAGTTTCATTTGGATTTACGTATGGACCACACACTTTCAAGGGCTGATTTAGTTTACACTTCAAAATTCTTTAACAACAAACTTTTATATCAACAAAATAATTCTTAACTTTTAATGTGGTTTAGTTGTTGTTTCTTTAAGTGTTAACACTTCTTTTAGTCATCAATGCCTTATTCTGTTAAATATGTAAAAAATAAGATGCATCCTAAGCATTGATGTTTTCTATGATCAAATACGTTTAAATGAACTAAAGTAGCAGCTCAAACATAAAGCATAGGATCTAAAAACCTGTCCACAAAGTTGCAGTTTTACACAATGTTCGGGCAACTTGAACTTTAAAGAACGTTTAAAAATCCTTGGACAAAAATCGATTCACATCTTTCTCTAAAAAAAAAATTATAGTTATTTTAATTTGTTTACTCTTTATTAATTAAACTGTAGTTAAGTATAATTAAAAATGAGACCTCAAACCACTAACTGATTTATTAAAATAAAACCTCCAACAATAGTTTTTGTAGGGACTCATAAATTAAGAGTCTAAGAACTCGTTTTCGTTTATAGTTTTTAAAAATATATACAATGTGAAACGCAGTGGAGTTGCAGGCTTTAACTTATAGGGAGCAAAGCAACATTTCTAAAAGTTGCGGATAAATCCACACCCCCATCCAAACAATTACCCCCAAAAAATACATATAAATAAATAAATACATGAAGCATAGATAAAACTAAACCATAAACAGTTATTGGAATAATTTTAACTTATAAAACACATGATATTTGTAGCTAATGTATCTCTTAAACCCAGAGACAACCTATATCTTTTCGTCAGCCTACCAAAGTTCTACACCATCGTTATACGTTCGTGCCATGGTCACGCGATAAGACTCAATGTGGACATGTCTTAAATTTGAGTAAATTTGCTTAGAGTCAGATCCTTGAATCTGAATATTTGTCTTAATGCATATTATATGATGAACCCCTTGTCAATTTAATATCGACGGCCAATAACATTCTTGTAGAAAACAACATGTTCACTACCAAATCCTTTTTGATAAAATAATCTGAATCACAAAAATTTCTTTGTGCAATCCACAACAAACAAACAAAAAAAAATAATAATAATAAGCTGAGACGTTTCAAAACAAAGTAGCGTCATTTTAAAGATTTGGCGAAAAGTAATAGTTCTTATTGCATATACATAAATAAAACTATTTTATCCTTGAAAGGGTCCCACTGTTCGCTTTAATGTCTCTTAATTTAAATACGTAGAATCATTTCACTTATGTTGATGTAATGAAATTATGGTAATGAAAAGAAGGACAAGTTATATTTATTTTATAATTTAAGAGAAAACACATCACGACAAATATGTAAACGAATTGAATTTCTTTATTTTCAGGCAAATACACAAGCCTCAGTGATGTGTGGAGCTTTGGTGCCCTTGTGTGGGAGGTATTCTCAATTGGCGAGACACCTTACAGTTCTGAAACAAAGGAGGGCATAATAGCCAGTATAGAAAAAGGTATGATAAAGAATTAGTATACACCAATAAGAGTTAAACTTTAATTTTAAGAAGTCCGTTTATGCTTTCACACCCACTGAAAATAATACTTTTTATAACGCTTACTTGTTCCTGGCGTTTAAATGAATACATATAATTCCCTTGTTTTATGGAGTTTACCAGAAAAACAATTCAAGTGTTTATAAAATCGAAGGATTTCCTTTTTTCCAGGATTTTGAAGACCCATTAAACAAACATTTGTGTAAAACAACGTGTTACGCACTGCCTTTTATAGTGAGAACTTAATTTCTTATTTTAATTGTATGGCTCGTTCAAACAGTGCATAACAAAGGACGATACCATAGAGAGGTACAAAAAATAGCAAAAATACGACACTCAAAACTGTACTAAGTACAATTAATAAGATTTATTTAAGCATTAATATAATTAGAAAAAAAATGAAATATGATTAAAAATCATGAACTTACAGAGTAGGATATGTCTTGTACCGGTACACAGTTATTACAATGTGCCAATTAATATTGTACAATGATGAATGCAAATAAACACATATGAGTACACACAGAATAATACTTTTGTCTCGTGAAGGGAAAAAATGGATTTTATGGGCTTTTTTATTATTAATGTTAAAATATTTTTGGGCACAGACGGTTGTGCATATAAGCCTCCGAGCATATTTTAATATTTTATACTTTTCAGTTTGTTAATTGTATTCTGTACATAATTGCAAAAAAAATAATTTTGTTTTGAAAGTACCCACGGTTGCAATTTGCCAGGTTTAGTAAATTATCCCTTTCAATTGTCATACTACTCAAAGTAGAGTTAACAACTATTCTTTTTCCCTCCCTTTTTTTCTTGTCATCCGTTTATCTAAAATCCAAAGTCCACGGCGAAACATGCCCCCCCCCCACACACACACGCCTCTCAATCCACCCGATCATCTTACAGTTAAGACCGATTGTTTTTGTAAGCGAAGGAGTAGAGGTTTTTTTTTTTTTTTTTAATCAGATTTTCTTATTTCCCATCAATCACCGCACACATGCCCCCCCCCCTCTCTCTCCTTGACCAAGAATACCGGAGCTGTTACTGTGTAGCTAACTCAGAGTGGACCCTACAGATCAGCATGAAGATGACAGGATACACCGGGCAAAAGTGTCACGTGTGATAACACAAAATATGCAGCAAAGTTACAAAGCCCCACGTCTATTGAGTAGAAAGAGAGTCTTTAAAGTTTAGCTAATATACTAATAGATAACAACGCGCCCCGAGTAGCGTTTCCAAAATTCAACAAGAACTTTTCTGTTTTATCTTTAGGCCATCGGCTGCACTCACCCCCGGGTACACCAGAACAGATCTACAGCGTTGTGTTAAGCTGCTGGGGTTATGATGAAGAAAGAAGGCCGCATTTCAAAATAATTCACAGAATGCTCCAAGATTTTATATCACAGACATGAGGGTATTAAAGAACCATGTTCAGTGGATCCTTTGTAAAAGATGTATTTATCTCTCATGGTTACCGACGGTATTGTCTAGCCCTCCGATTTTGCACGGTTCTTTCGTTCCCTTTAAGAGAATCCCTAATCAGCTCGTAAACTAACCGATCATCTGTCATCCACACGTCCTAGGAAATTGATACTTATTTTTACAAAAAACTATTTATTACCCCCCCCCCCCAAAAACAATAAGATTTGATGTGAAGAAAATAAAATCGAATAGTTTGATCATTTGGTGACCTTAAACAGTGCAGTCGACATGTTAGAAGATCCAAGAATCCTTAAGCCTACAAGAAACGGGTACGGACACGGATATGAATGTTTATACAATAATATAATAGCACATGGGTAGAAAAGGAAAATATTTTATGTACACACAAAAAAACAGACCCTCTGCATTTGATTATATTTTAAATTGAACCGACGTGGCAGTTGAAGTTATTTGAACTATTTCACTTCTTAACATGACACTTTATCATTTTTTACAGATTAACATGATTTTAACATTTTTATTTTAGTTTTTTGTTTTGTTTTTTTTTACCTGGGAGCATTTTAATTCAGGTGTAATTAAGACCACATTGTGGAAATAAACAAAATACTTCTAGTTGTAATCAATAACAATGCACCTCATGAAAGACTAATTTTTTATTTATTTTTATAATCCTTAGAAAGTTATTAATTGATAAAATCAATTGCTCCAATACAGTAATTTATAATGAGATAAGATAGTTATCTATACATTGTTATCGAATGTTTCAATACAAATAACTATCCTTGCCCATTCTATCGGAGCCCTCTTTTTGAAGTCACCTTATATTTTTAATGTGAGTAAATTATAATTTTATAACAATGATTTGTTTTTTCCTTTTTCGTGTTGCAACTCATTGCACAACAATATCGTTAGCATTGTCTGTTGTCAGCTGCTAATCGAATTTGTCTTTCTATTTTTGTTGATTATAAGTGATGTGACGATAAGATCAGAGTTGTTCTTTTTTGGGATTTAACTCTCACAAGACGGCAGCAGTGGCGTAGCTAGAGATAGCTAGGGATTTGGGGGCCCGGGGGTCTTGGCCTCTTTGGGGCCCCTGCATTTTCACATTCGACATTATTTAATGTAAAAAAAATAATTTCGGACGCTCCTTTGGGGGCCCCCCTCAAGTAGGGGCCCGGGGGGACTTTCGAATTTGGACCCCCCTCTCCCCTAGCTACGCCACGGGACGGCAGATTCGTCAAGATTTTTATGACCTTGAATACAACTTATTACTCTAAGTTCCTTATGGCAATACCAACTACATATCATTTTTTAAAGGTTATTGCATGCCAATTGATATAAGGTGTTTGCTCAAAATATACTTTTTAAAATTGATTTATTATTATTTTTAGGGTTAAAACAAAAATTAAGTCGACAAAAACAAACCATCAAAGCTTTACAAAAAAAGGAAAATTATTGTTTCAATTTAAACAATAAAATCGTTATTTTATTAGCTTGTATTCCATTCTACAACAAATTTAAAATTTCAAAAGAAATTTAAAAAATAGACTCATTAAATAAATACGTTATCGCTTTTTGTAGACAACAAATCAAACAAGACTTATTGCCGGCAAGGTCAACATATTTTTAAAAAAAAATTATTATTAAATTAAAAACATTAAAAATAAACATCATTTTTAAAATGATTTTATATTTTAAAGTTTTAAAAGTTATGCATAAAAAATCTTCATGCATTGAAAAAAGTGTTAATTTTATTTAAATTATTTTCCTTTTTTAAATCCATGGGGTATTTTATTTCATTTATTACGACTTACATGGTTGAGAATCAATTTAAATCTAACCAAAATCTACTTAGACCATGTTCATTTATTGAATGTTAATTCACTTAGAAACATGTGTAACCTATATATATAATTTATTTATCTGACCATAAAGTCAATATTTAAAAAAAATGTTTCTAAGCAGTTTGTAAAACTTTTAATATAATTTTGGAGGATATTGTTGTAGACATAAGTATTAGTTAAATCGACACAGTTTACCATCGCGGAATTATAGCCTATATGATATGTTAAATAATGCATTTATTAAAAGCTTTTCCCACAAGATACATGTGAAAAAAAATATTTATGCCTTGAGAACTTTTCAGTTTAAAAGATTCGATTGCCAAAAAGAAAGTTACAATTTTATTATGACCCATTATTATATTTTGTGCTTTTTTTTCAACATTAAAATTAATATTTTTTTTTTATTATTTTAAATGGTTTTACTCTAACGATCTTTTGTGCTTAATCGTACTCCAGCATTTATCTCAAATAAAATAATTTACATTTTACTACCTCATTTTTCAATATCCGATTTAAAAAAAAAAAAATATTTTTGAACATAATATATACATATGAAATGAACACTTTAAATTAATATAACTGATATAAGCTTACCAGAGAGGTTAAATTTCTAGTTGTTATAAACAACACATAAAGGACGGTAAAGAGCTTCTCTGATAGAATTAGCTAGCATTTTTAAAATATTAATTTAAAAAAAACAACAACACTGCACCGTCTCATCTCATTTAACGAGGAAACGTGGTGACAGGTCTCATTGATGCACTAGTGAAATGTGAGAAGGAATGCATCGATTAATTCAGATGAGGGACATTGTTGTTGTTTTTTTATTATAGGTGACCTAGCCACATAAAGATGTTCTTAGAAAGATGTATCTAAAAAATATATAATCCATGTTTTGTTTTTTTAAGCTAACAAATAAAGTTTTATTCAAATTCAAACAATTGTTTCAATTAGGCGCATCAGATTTTTTAACACCGCAGATTTCAGAAAATTTCAAAGAAAACGAAAATAAAATGACTCAGATTTTCTTCTCAGCAAAGACTTTAACCCAGCAGGCACCAAAAACAAAGTTTTACACTAATTAGAAATCAGCACGTGGCAATAAAAGAGGATTTAAAATCTCTAAGAATTTCCGGCAACGTTTTGAGAAAGAATCGGCTCGCATGAACGCCATGGTGCACACTTTGGGAACCACTGGATTGAGTGTGTGAGGGTGTGTATAATCCAAGGATTGGTTGTGAGTGTATATGTCACCTACTGATGAAGTCATCGTTATTGAAAGAAATTTGTATTTTTAAAATAATTACTTTTTAAAATTTAAAAATTATTTTTATTAGCAATGTTATTGAATACATATGGGAACAATCAGATGCTTGGAGTTCTCGTAAATGGTATATATACATTAATTTATACTACACCTGAAGAATATTAAAGTAGACATTCATTAAATCGATATCAATTTTTAAAATCTCAATACCAGTGTCTTAGAAATAATTTACGTAAGTTCAACCAGGATTGTGGGGGAAAAAAATCTGTAAACAAATTACAATTTGAAACAGACTTAAATATCAATTAAATTATTTACATGCGATTTAATGCACGTGGGGCCCAAGGCTTCAAAAAACGCTACATTTAAATATCACAGTTTAACCTCCACACCTTTTCTTCCCATCAAGCTATAGAGCTAAACCTTGGCACACGGATAGAGCGCAGGTGATATTAACATGTATATCTAATTAAATTTTATTTATGTTATAACATCTAAATATATAATTAGCCAGTAAGGGTCAAACACCAAAACGGTTTAAACACCACGAAGGCTATTTATAGATACGCCAAAGTGTGGTTCAGTAATGAGTTCACTAGCGCGCAAAATATGATGTCCGATAACTATGCTATAAACGATATATAGATATATATTTTTTTATAACGCAATTGCGTTTCGTGCGTAATATTTTATTTTCAGAAATGAAATCGTCTCAATTTTAGTATTGTATAAAAAATATTCGGTTTAAAAGTGGTTGGAACATGAGAATATTAATATAGTTCATTGGCATGAAATAAAAAGTGTGCAGTAACGTATCATGTGGGGAAGGGGTGTAGCAAATATTGGGATTCTTAAATGTGCGTTACTTGAGTTCATATTTTGTCAAGTAACTTTAGTAGATATGAAGCTCACACATTGATGTCGCCAATGTTTGGCGGGCTATATGTAGTTTAAATTAATTCAGTTTCCTTCAAGCAAACCAAATCAACGCTAACTATTATTGTTTTTTAAGAATCGCATTAAGAAATAGGTTTTTGATCGTGAAGCCTATGAACAATAATGTAACGCTTTTAAGTGCAGTTATCGGGAAGGGAATTTAACAGAGCGTTAGACCCATGCTTACATTTGAATCTAAATAATTGTTGTTTTTAAATGTGTCAGGGATCATAGAACTATAGCTCGTGGTCCAATAATTCCCAACAAACAATTTCAATTATCCTTAGGCAAAGGCAAAGAAACTCGTCCCTCTCCCCCATAGACAGCGACGAGGCCATGACAGGCAATGCCGGCTCATACCAGCGAGAAGCCAGTATAGGAACAGCTAATTCCTGCCAAGACAATCAGGGACTGGAACAAGCTTTCAAGAGGAACAGTTGAGGCGACAACACTTGACACATTTATTTATTTAGGCATTTTTATATAGCGCTTACCATCAAGCTCTAAGCGCTTTACAATTATTAAAAACGTGTAAACTAAGTAAAATAAAAATGAGACACTAGGAAAGTAACTACTATACTATAGAAACAAAGCATTCAAACCGCCAGTGCATGATTCCCTCACAAAGTAGCACATGCAGTCAGTGAAACGTCCTCATCAACACCAGGTACAAAAACATTGCTAATCCCCTCTACACACATATGAGACAAAAGGATCAATAAATTGATCGTGCGCCCTTAATATATAGAAGAAGAAGAAGAATTGTGTCTAATTTATTTGATGTATTTCTCTAGTGAAAAATCTCGTCCTAAGGATGAACTTCGTTCATATTTATTTATTTTTTTAATTTGCATCCTTAGGAGACATGATTCAATGTCGCCCTACTATGTTTCAAGAATGGTTTGAACGTCAAAAGGTTTATCTACACTTCCCGTTTTATCCTTTTGTATCATGTTGACACATTTCCATGGCTAGCAGCATTTGAATTCAACACACTGGCACACGCATCAAATACACAGGCACATTTATATCAAACACACTGACGAATTTATATAAACACACTGACGCATATACACCGCACAGCCCGACGCACATCTAGCAAGCACACTGACTCGTAAGTATCAAACACACTGAGGCCTTATACATCAAAACACAGTGACGAATATACATCACACAGCCTGACTGGAAATCTATCAAGCGCACTGACGCATATGTATCAAACACACTGACGCATTTGTATCAAACACACTGACGCATATCTATGAACGCACCGATACATATACATGGAACACATCGACACGGAAGTTATTTTTGAGACCAGTCCCAGTCTCTCAGCTCTATGGTCTGATAACTTTTTATTTCGTTCTCATTGATCTAGACGGCGCACACATTTATTTGTCATCTTTAGCTTCCCAGCCCCTGTCGTGTTGCTGTATTAATTTTTTTTACATCAGTTTTACAGCAGTTCTCAACCTATCGGTCGCGACCCCTCTGGGGTCGAATGACCCTTACACGGGAGACGTCTAAGGCCATCAGAAAATATATTTACGATGTAGCAATGAAGATAATTTTACCGTTGCGGGTCGTCAAAAACTTTGTTATTTTTGGGTGAGAAAAGAGTATATTGGGTTGGTGAATATCAATTCCGCTTTCAATACTTTCATATCATTTGTTGTTGTTGTCATCGTTTGGCTGAGTAAACATGGATCGGATAACGTTACCGTGAATTGAGAGGAAAGAGTTTATTTAGATTACAAGTATACATTTTATTTTAAATACTACTCTATTGGGTATGTTTTAATTAACCCTACTTAAAAC